CGAGTTGGCAGAAGCCGAAATTTTTGTGGCCGAGTTGATTTGTGGCCGAGTTGACTTGTGGCCGAGTTGACTTGTGGCCGAGTTGACTGTGGCCGAGTTGACTTGTGGCCGAGTTGACCTGCACCCCTAGGCCTAGGCTAGGCCTATCTGCCTTATTAGGCTAATACTGGGCCTAGTACTCAGGCTCTTAGGACTATCTATCTACTAGGCTAGCCTAGCCTAGCTAGGCTTACTGTAGGCTAGGTAGGGTACTAGGCCCCTAGATAGGCCCCTCCCTGGGCCTAGGCTTAGTTAGTTAGGGCCTAGGACTAGACCTAGGGCCTAGGCTAGGTAGGCCTAGGCTAGGTGCTAGGCCTAGGCTAGGTAGGCCTAGGCTGACAGACATGCATAAAAAAGTGTAATACAGTACAACACACCAATTTCAAATGTATATACGTCAAATGATACTCACATAAAATTTCATTGAATCTTTTGGACTTCGATTTAGAAAAAGACATCCCTTCTATCAAAAATCAATGTAGACCTTACGCTGAATTTATCAACAAACCAACAGCTGTGATCTTGTAATCTGCCGCCCAACAATTCAAAATAACCACCATTTTTATGAGGGCGCTATTTAAAATCTACTACAGTATTATCTCTGTGCGCTCCTAAAGGCCAGACTTTTTTTGACATGGAGGTATTATTGAACCCGCCGTCCGCCAATATTGATGTTTTCTAATAAAAGTACAATTTTATTTGTAGCCACTTAGCCCCCCCCCCGCCGCCATGAAACAAATGGATATTTCAGAAAAAAATTGTTTTTTTTCTTTAGGCCCCATAAAAAAAATATTAGTTTTTCACCCTCCTCACTCATCAGCTTTGGGGAAATACTGCTTTTTTTTTTCTTTTTTAATCAACATATATTTTTGTTTCAAACGGTCGTTTTTCCAACTTTTTCACTTGTAAAGCTCAGGTTCTCTTACAAATATGTTTACTGGTACAACAAAAAAATATTTCCTAAACATAAAATTGATTCCATTAACTTATAACGATTTATATATGTGTCCCTAACCACCGATTTACTTGTGAACATCGGTAAAATGGGGGCGGGGTTAGCAAAAAATAAAAAACTAACAAAAAAAAATTTTTTTTAAACCTCCATTCCTCATCACTTTTTATTCTTTGATAGGGTGATAAATGGAAAATATTTTTTTTAATAATAATAATAAACGATTTTTTAACAGAAAAAAAATTCTAGACCCCTATACTGCCCTGCTCTGAGAAAAGGCATTAAGTACATTTTTTTCAAAATTGAGATTTTTAGCTTCTGCGACTCTGGATCTATCACCCTATTTTATCAAATTTCCAAAAATATGTCTGGAAATATGAAATTTTATTTTAAAATTGGGCATTATCTGCAAATTTTACTATAAATACTCTGAGAAAAGGCATTATGTGCGCGCAGCCTCCTTACATACATGCATTAAACGTTTGACTTCACGCAAGACAGATAGTAAATAACCAATCAGATGCTAGTGTAACGAATATCTAATTATTTAGCTTGGAATCCTTAGCAAATAATGCCTAGTTAGTAACTGCTTTATTTCGAAGAATACTCTGAGAAAGTGCATTATTATTTTTTACGGCGTTTATATTATATAATTCTGTGATTAATGCAATACTTTTGCCGAAATGATGCAAGTTACAGCGCAAGACCTTTTTAGAAGTCTTTTGGAAGAGTAAGTACAATATTGTATTTTATTATGTTTCATACCTATTAAGTATTAAATTTAGATTATTATTATTATTTAGTAGAATTTTTTTTTATCAACATTGTATGTTTTGTATTGTGTTTATTATTTTTATTATTATTATTATTATTATTATTATTATTATTATTATTATTATTATTATTATCACTGTTATCGTTATCATCATCATTATTATTACTCTTTCAGGCAACCAAGTGGTAAACCAAATATGGACAGACACAATTTTCGCCACTTCGAAGAAGGGACATTGAGTAATGCAACTGTGAAAGAAAAAGTGTAAATAACTATTTTAAAAAATGCAAAAAGTCGGAGCATTGTAAATAAAAATTTTCAAATGTTTGTATAACCTATGTTGTATTGTATTATTATCATTGTAAAGATAGTTGCAATGTATATTATAACTTAATAAATATAAATTTATTAATCTTATATTTAAAATTAGCACACCATTTTTATATATTTTTCTACATGTTATTGTTAACAAGTTATTATCAATAAACTTTGAATTTGAAATTATAATGCTTTGTCTATTTTAGTATTATCAATAACGATTTAATTATTATGATAGGCCTATTCTAATTATCAATCGATAATGATGATGATTATGATGATGATGATGATGATG